AGCCCAGGAGTTCGAGACCTGCCTGGGCAATATAGCGAGACCCCGTTCTCCACAAAAAGGAAAAAAACAAAAAGACCAAAAATAAAAAATAAAAAAATAAGCTTAACTTCCAACATTAGGTCAAGAGTTCAAGACCAGCCTGGCCAACATGGGGAAACCCCTTCTCTACTAAAAATACAAAAATCAGCCAGGCGTTGGTGGCATGCACCTGTAATTCCAGCTACTGACCCAGCTCCTAATCCCAGGAATTGGTGGCACATGCCTGTAATCCCAGCGACTCAAGAATCTGAAGCATGAGAATTGCTTGAACCTGAGAGGCACAGGTTGCAGTGAGCCAAGATCACGCCACTGCACTCCAGCGTGGGCAACAGAGTGAGTCTCCATCTCAAAAAAAAAAAAGAGCAAGAAGGTATTTGATGACAATACCTTGTGGGTTTCATTGTAGACCTCAGTTTCTCAAACTGACCCATCAGGCCACGTGGCTTGGAAGGGGGCTGTGCAGCAGGGGTGCAGCCCCATCAGAAGCCTGGGATGGGATGCGGAATGCTGAGCAAGCGTTATGGGGGCCAGAGCTGTGGGGGACATCTGCCCTGCGGGCCTTTAGCTACCTTACCAGATATGTGGCCTTGGGGCTTTGGCCTCAAGTTTTTCTCCTCTTCCCTCCTGCTGTCAGTTAGGATGAACCCTTTGATCCCAGGGAAAGTGACCTAGGGTTCACATTCTGCAGTGGACCAGTGGGACAAAGGGGAGATTATACTGGATACTGGGAGCTCTTAGAAAAGGTCCCCACCCCTCTTCCATCTCCTGTCTCCCTGGTCTGCCTTGGCCCATCCACTGCTTGTCTACAGTCAACTTGGCTGCCATTTTGTGACCAGGAGGCAGTAAAACTGGTGCTTGAACTCAGGAGGCAGAGGTTGAGTGAGCCAAGATTGTGCCACTGCACTCCAACCAGACTCCATCTCAAAAAAAAACAAAAGAGCTGGGCACAATGGCTCATGCCTATAATCCCAACAATTTGGGAGGCTAAGGGGGGGCGGATTGGCTGAGTCCAGGAGTTCAAGACCAGCCTGCCCAACATAGTAAAACCCGTCTCTACTAAAAATACAAAAATATCAGCCGAGCATAGCGGTGTGCGCCTGCAATCCCAGCTACTCAGGAGGCTGAGGCAGAGGAATTGCTTGAACTAGGGAGGTATAGGTTGCAGTGAGCCAAGATGGCACCACTGCACTCCAGCCTGGGCAA